CTGCAATCCACTCTTGCCTGAACGAGACTATTTTTTGAGAAACATGGCTATATGAAATTCAATGGAAATGTGTGGCTTATTCATATTATTGTGGGAAAACTCAACCAACAATCCTTCATCACCTTAAATGAAATGAGGTGACAGTTCTTGTGTAATAAAGGAATACATTGAATGTGGGAAATGAGGGTAGAACGTTGAATAAGAATTACATGAGTGAAATATTGAAGGATAGTGAGGGCTTTAAGATACCTTCTAAAAAGGCGATTTAGCCTGTCAGCCCGGTGCTGATTTTAACCTCAAACTCATATAATATAGATTAAGCTCATCAGTAGAACTAGCCGTACGAGATTAAGAAATCCAAGTCATTCTTTTCCTTGTGTCAGTTAACTTTGATGACCTCAGACCAACGGGTTGTTATGAATGATTTCTTAACCTGATTTTTACGCGTACATTATCATCCCAATTAGAGTTGCCTACGCAATCTCGATCATGCTTTTCCTTGAGTCATTAACCTTTGATAACCCGGGCCTCATGTTACGCTTTAGGGACTACTCTGACTTCAAACCGGTATTGCGCATTGACATTGATGCATACAGATATATGCATATACACTCAAGTGAAAGTATCCTGACTAATCTGAAAGATATTTAACCAAATCATCATCGCTCTGTCTATATATTTTTATTTTTATTTTCTTGATCTACGGTTAACTTGAGACATTTACAAGGATGAATTCCAGTTCTGATGATGTCCGTCATGATGAAGGAAAATGTCACATGGACTGTTGGCCTGAATGTCGTATTAAGGCCAAAAGACAGTGTGAATCAAACATCGTCTTCAAATGAATTTTACCAACTAATTTATTTATACACTCATACGAAACAAAGTCTCCATATCAAATATTTCCCACTTTGAGGAAATATTCTCTACTTTTCCATAATGCTTCTCGCTGGTATTTTTGATAAGGATGTGTCAAAGAATTAAACTTTTGCCTTTTGAATAGAACCAAAAGCTTATGCAAGGTCATAATTTTTATTTGAAATTTTTAATGGCCGATCAGCTTGTCTCTTGCTTTTTCTGAGGTAGCACCCTCTCCTTCACTTAACTTATTTTATTAATACTTTGATTTTCTAATATATTTTCCATCATGATTTAACCCCTTTATTATGTATCTTCGAAATCGACTATGTCCGTTTGACCCTTTCCATTCGTTATCTTTATAATAAACGTTAGGTTTATTCCTGGGGTGATAATGATCATGGTCAACTGGGTAACGGCTTGAATAATGTGAACATGGCGCCCGCCTTGGTTCTCGGATTGCCGATACCTTCCTCTTCATCTCTTTACAAGAAGCCGTGTATTGGTCAGCTGCAAGTTGCTTGTGGAAGTTCACACAGCGTTGCTTGGTTCATGCCAGATTCAAGCCATGAATTTTTCATCAACAGCCCAACCGTCCTCATGGCTGCCCATCTGTCTGCTCGTGATTTACGCAGGTACTGGTTTTTATTCATTCTCAACAATTGCTAAATTAATTTTTTTGTTCAGCCCCCTCTTTTTTACCATTCTTTCTCTTCATTAAACGTCATCACCTCATAAATTTTTTACTAGGGTAATACTACTCATGGAATTTTCTAACTCAATTTTCATAATTAATAGAGCCATTTATTGGCCAGAATGATATTCTTAATAGTTTCCTGACCTTAAAATATACCCTCCTTACTTTATTAAAATGGAACCAAAATGATCTTAAACGCATTCATAATAATTTGGGATCTGTAGCTAACTTGGATGTCCTTTGGCAATAATTGTACCTTCCTTGCTTGGCCAAATTTGCTACTCGAATATGAAAATAGCGAAATAAAACGGAAAATAAAGTATACAAACCAAATCGTAGACAAAAAGGGACCAAACTTGCTGACCGTACTTGGCCACTCATCTCAGATTTTAGACTCGTCAAAGGATGACAAAGTCACGACGTTGCAGTAAGTACTAGCCGGTCACATTGATTTCGTAAATTCCAACCAATTTTGTTTAATAGGCTAATGCTGGGCTTGTGGGCTAACCAACCTTTGGTTCCTGATTTTACTCCGCTATACATCCTTTTTCTTATTTACGCAGAATTTTATTGGATAATTTTGTGAGCCAAATTACCCTATTTTTTTTTCTCAGCTTATTCTATTTGATAGATATCTTGCCAGTCAACTATTTGAAGTTTTGTCTTTCGAAAATCTTTAAAAAATAGGCATTTACTTGCCATTCCTGCTCTACTCTTGCTTCGTTTTTTAGTTGGCACATAACCTCTCAGGATAACTCAGCAAGCCTCAACGTTCATCTTAGATATGTAAATTTGTATGCGAATTCCCTTTATGCTATTTCTCCATTTATAATGTTTAGTTTCCTTAAAATACACTCTTGCTGTGGTTACATCATAAAATGTTTCTAATATTGACTTATTTTTAACCTAATATGACTTTCCCGCAGGGGCAACCGCTTTTCTAGTTGCATATCTATGGCTTCATTTCGTCTACAGCAAATTCATTCTTTCGGTGGACTTATAAACTCGGCGGTGAAATCTGCGTTTCCCAACTGTCCTCGTGGCTTCATTGGAGAGCTTTATGCTGAAAAAGCTATCGAGAAAGCCCGTCGGAAGGACGAATTCGGCTCTTATAATGCGCCTGGAAGTGGCGACATTTTCGGATTTCGCCCGGTGCCCTTCTTGACCTCTAAGCAGGATCCGATCGGTTATCAATGCATAGGTAGGTATTGATTTTTCATATGCCACTTTATTATCTTATGCAACATAAGTTCTCATTCTATGTAGGAACCAGTGATATAATTGTTTAAGTATATTTTTAATTTAATTCACTTTCTGAGACAAGCCAAGATATTCTATAATTTGGATAGTCTTATTTTATCTCTTTTTCGTCCAATGTCAGATCGAATTCTCACTTGATTTTACACTAGATCCTCTTTTTACTTTATCCCATCTTCCCCCAACTTCTCCATACCTTTGGCCTTAAGTAATCTCATTTTACATTTTTTGTATAAGTGCATATCATAATATCGCATATTTTTTTAATTCCTCATCAGAAAGCGACAAGTATTGCCAGTATGAAGTATTATCTAGCTGACTTGGTCTCACTCATCTCTGCCCATCATTATGATAGATTAATTTAAATTGGTCAGTAGGTTGGATTTCCTGTATTAAATATTTGTCTTTAGTTTTCTAACATCATCCTATATTAGTGTCTGACATTGAAATTATCTTTTATTGGTATATAGTTGAGCCCCTACTTACTTGTGGTTATTTTACGGGCGGTTTTATCACTTTTTGTGCTAATTTATCTCTAAATTATTCATATTCACGCGAGCTAATATATCTTTCTCGTCAAGTACAATAAAAATGAATTATGATATCTAAGCATTCAAGAATGAAGACATGAAGTGCAAGGAAATGCTTTAATGTTTGGCTATTTTTAGTATGTCTTTATTTCTACCATTTTTTGCAGAGTTGCTTCAAAATCACGCATCCGAAGATCCAGATTGCTTGTTAACCAATCTTGAACGGGTCTCTAGTAAGTTGTCTACAACTTCAAGTGCTCCTGTAAGACAAGCATCCATTCTCTCATCTCTTCGACATCCCTTCACTTCTGGTTCATCTAGTCTCACAACTCATACGTTACGTGGAGCAAATAAAGAGATGGGATGGAGAGGAGAAGATCAACCCAACGTGCGCAAGAATGAGAATGACAAAGCGACTACTGCCTCCAACTCTGATGAAGTCTTTGCTAGTGTCTCCTTCGTTGATGAAGATATATTATCTTTACCCTTTGATAATATTTTAGTTTCCTTAGGCAGTCCTGGAATGGCCGGGGAGCTAGGAATGACGAAAGCTTACATTTCTGCTCATCAAGAAGTGTAAGTCATATGTCTAAATATACGATGTATAAAATGAAAATTTCAAACTTTTATCTCTTCCTCGTGTACTTCTATCTTTAAAAGTAGTGTCGAAGTCTGAAGTCTTCTGAACTAAATAAAGCAATTAATTTAAAGATTATGATTGCAGGCTGTTATTGACAAGATATCGAAAATGTCCTCAGATTTGATGACTTGTAGGCTTTTAATGAAGCTACTTAATTATGAAAATTATGGGAAATTGAAGGTCTAACTACCTTTCATGAACGAAGATTTCTATAGAGGGACGCATTTCATGGATCAAACTTAGGATAAAGTAATTAATTTACCTTCGGATTAGCTTTATATTGGATTTAATTTTCCACTAAAATGATGGGAATGGGAATTGTTGTAAATATCTCTGATAAGCAGCTGGGTATTGAAACAATTTTAGGCATACAAATGAGATGTCACAAAAAGATTAAAGGTAGTGATTGACAAAAAACAATATTACAAGATATTTTTGAAATATTTTGTGGTAAAAACGACTTATTGGCTGTTAAACAAGGGCCCAACTTCCATATAGAGATACTTAGATAAGATATTAGTTAAATAAAGTGTAAATGAGTGATAAAGATGAAATGCTATGATCCAGGACAGGAAGAGGAGCGATTTGTCTCGAAATGCACTAAGTCAGCGGTTCGAGACGGGAAATTATAGTGGTTTCTATGGTAGATGATTTAATGCTAAATACGTTTTTTCAAGTGTTCCTGACACCAAATCGAAGTTGTGAAAACGAGATAGAACTAACTAAATATTAACTTTTTCTTGCATGGACCTTCTAGTGATTTCCCTTGAATCTGATTCTTACAAAATATTTCAGCTTAAACTTTCACTGTCCGTATTTTTGCTAAGTAATTGTACTGTTATCCAATGATCCAGCCACTCAGTAGATAAAAATATGGCGCCTTCCGATTACTATATAATGAATAAAGATGTTAATAAATAATTTTAACTGTTTACCAAAGTTTTTTATGGACTATATTTAATTAAAGAAGTGGGTTGACCTCGTTGTCGCAACTTGGTCTTGTTGTCCGGGAGACTTAATAGAATGCACCTAGTGCGAAGTCGTCTGCCATAGTAGTTATCGCAATTCCCCGCATCAGACCGTGGACTTGGTACATTCTCAAACGTTTCTCCGACATCGTAGTCGGCATCATTATTGAGTTTTGCCATTCTCCACACCAAGCTACGAAATCGTCAAAGAGAAAAGTGGAGTCAATGCTTCCACCAAAGTTCTGCCGAAAACGGTTACACCATCACTCCTCTTTTTGCCCACTGTCTGATGCTGGGAATTATGATAACTACTATGGCAAAGGACTTTGGACTAGGTAAGTTTGACTAAGTCTCTCGTAGAACAAGACTAAGTTGCGGCGAGGTCAATCTACTTCTAAAATTCTAAACAAGACTGCGACCATACCGGAGGCCACACCATCTTGGTCTTCATATCTTCGATTAAAATCATTGTTTGGCTGTCTGAAATCTGTCCGCTTAAGAACCTTCTATTCCCGTCCTCGATTACGACATATTCGAGGAGTTAAAGCAGATTATGCACATGTCCAGGCCCATGTACAGATGTGCCTAGGAATCTTTCTCTTACTAGACTTAAAACCCGTGGCTCAATTATCATCTACCTCATCCCCACCCACATGGTGTCTCATTCTTTGGGGCTCTGTGTCCGGCTTAAGTCGTAACCGCTAGTGTGAGAATGCATTGCTTCCTTTTTTCCACTTGAATCGCGAAAAACACACTCGTCGCTCAAGTTGACATTTCAATCTAATCCTAGGGTACTTGGATGATGTCCCTGTGTATGTTGGTTGCTATCCCTCATGGTCAAATCTGTCATCAGTCGCCTCCTCTTCAGATGCAGATACGAAAATTACGCACGATACTCATGCACACAAACTGATGATCTCTATCTAGCCCACCTATACCTTTAACTCTCTTGCTTCTATGGCGAGTTCTTAGCTTGGTGCAGAGAATGGCTGATGATTCCGACTATGATGCCGGCTAAACGTTTGATAATGTACCACTGTCTGATGCTAGGACTTATGAAAACTACTATGGCAGACGACTTCGGACAATATGCGTTATGCTAAGTCGCCCTGACAACATAACCAAGTTGCGACAATGAGGTCAACCCACTTCTATAGATTGAATGGAGACTGCGACGATACCAGAAGCTACACCATCTTGATCTTTATATCTTATATTTAATTAAATTTCTTTTTAGAACAAGCCGAATCAGTTTTATTAGTGCTGTTTGCCAATTTATCATTAGAGCAGCAAATAGCTTAAAATTCACTCTTGAAAACTCTTGGATGATTAGAAGATTAAATCGCTTATCAGAATTATCCGTCATGATTTAATTCACAGGTTGATCTTGCTTTGATTTAGGTAGACCTATTTTGTTTGTGGATTTTCCCGTGTGTGCACTCCTTTCCTTAATTACGTCTTTATTATTTGTGGTCTTTGCTTCTCCTGAAAAAAGTTTTGCAAAATACCCGACTATTTAGATCCTTATTCCCATTTTTTAGAGGAAATTTTCAAACCACGGATATATATCTACCAACGGAAAGACTCCCTCAACTACTTTACCTGACTTCTGTCGGCCCCCCAGAAACGCAAGCTACCTTTTCGCTTGGAGCCCATCTCGTTGAAGCTGCTAGAATTTCTACAGCTCGGTAATTTGACCAACCGTGTCCCTTATTCATAATAACCAGTTAAATTTGTTGATATCATAAAATTTTCTTGATGTTTATTTAAATAAAATTTCCATTTTTATTCTAATTATGAGGAGTTATATTGTTCTAGAATTTGTGTTGAGTAAAGACAGCTCATTTGCTTTCTATAATTTACACGGATTTTAACTTAAGTTTTTTATATGAATAAAAGTTGTTCAGGATTTTATGATTTATCGTATTCCTTGCATCCGACAACATGTGGTTTGAAAGTGATTTGTTGAGAATTGCCCCGAAGAAAAGGACTTAGAAATATCGTTCTATTTATTGATTATATAGCATATGTGAAATTTTGTTCATATCAGCAGTATTGTTAAGCGATCATGGCTAAATAGTTTTCTATATTAATGTTCATGAAATCTGTTGTTTGCTTATTTAAATGTGGTATGATATG